TCGTATAATACTTCACCAATGAGAAAAAAATATACATTCAAATGCCATGTTATTCGCAATCCATGAATTTTGGCAGTTATTTATTTTTGTGTTTTTAATTAGTTCTTTAATATCCTGCAACTACCAGCCATTTTCATATTGCTATCGTTTTGTTCCTATCGAAAATGCAACTTCTTTGTTTCTGAAACTAACTAACAGCTACAAAACACTCCTTTACAACTTCTCACGCTATTCGTACTTTAGCCAAAGGCTTGGCAAATACAACAGCATTAGATGTTATTGCATGCTGCAACAACACAGTTGGGGAACGCCTAAATTTCAGGCCGCACAAATTCCTCGGAACAATTACCGAACTAAAGAGAGCAATGTCTGTGACTTCAGGAAATAATTTCCAATTTTGTTGCACAGCTAAGAAAGGCACACCTTGGAGTGTCTTTTGGCTGAACCAACCCCTTTTTTGGGGAAATTACTTGAGTTTGTTGCATGCGCCAGGAAGTTTGCATTTCGGGCTGGCATGCCTTTGTGGCTGTGCGGTTGGAATGAGACTCCAACATTGTTTGATTGCTTGCTAATCTCTTGGGCTGTTGCTGCAGCAGCAGCAGCAGGAGCAACATCTAATGAAATAAAACTCAATTTAAAAATCATTTTAATTTCGCCAGCGATTACATTACGTTCGCTGCGTTCAATTTCTGCATCACAAATTGCTTTTTCTGCTAAACGCCAGCTCTTGAAATCTCATTATATCCTACCACACTAACTATTGGTTTTTTTCTCTTTGCCATCTTTGTCGCTTTTTTCTTTAGCAGATTCATTGCCTTTGGCTGGGTGTATTCGTGTGTCGCTTGCAAATCCACAAGCAGCACTGAGAATGAGTATTAAGCCTGTACGTACTGCTTTCCATTCCGCATAATTTTAAGTGATGAACAGACAATTTTCCATTTTATGTTGGCGAGTTTATTATGTTTTTGCTTAGCCTTCTTAGATTGCTTTGCTGTGTTTTTTTTCACTTAACCAATCATAACAACTGAATCAACATTTCCCACAGGTCCATGAAATTTCCTAGAAGTTGGAGTTGAGGTGTTTTGGTCTTCCCTCTGGTATATTGACCATTTCCGTGTCAGTTGGTTTTTCTCCTCCTCTCCTTTTTTTATTAAACGCATTCATTAAGATTTTATTAGACGAGTCGTTAACTTAAAGTTTTTGTCTGTTTTTTATTGCGAACGGAGTGGGTTTGGAAAGGGTACACCCCAGTCCATCCCACCACATTATGCATTAGAGAAAGTTCTACCCAAATATCCCAGGCATCATTAAGCGCATCTAAATCCTGACCATTAAAGACTTAACAAAATGGGAATTTATGTGAAGCAAACCAGGACCACCCTTGCTGAGCTAGATTTTATGACAGGAAATTTTACACTTCGTTTGTGCTGGCAGTGCCACAGCATTGTCGACTCTTTTGCACGACTCTTTTCTTCTAATCTCTGGGCATTGTAATCCTGGCAAAGGCTAGCGGAAATATATATAAATTTTATTGTTAATAAAATGTTTGAGGTTATTTGCCAAAATGCCATATTTTCCAATGACATTCGTGGAAGCCCGTCGCAACTTTGCTCCGAAGTTGTAAAATGCAAAAATTTATTCTCTACAAGATTTGCAAACCTGGCTGCCGTAACCAAGCATGTCCATTTTTGCTCGGCCATATAATTTCTTCTTCTTTTTTTGTCTGCTTTAGCATTCATTGCGGTATCTGTGTTTTTTGGTTCTTAATCTCTTTTTATTTGTTGCCATTAAATTTCAACAATTCCAGCTAAAGTATCCTTAAGTTGAAGTGGAACTCCGGCAGTGGAACACACACGACATTGCCGGTGTTCCAGGAAATTGTTGATGTTCGTTATAACTTGTTAACGACTGTTGTGGCACGAATTTTGGAGGTTTCTGTGTCTTGGCAACCAGAACAGTTCACACACACACCCCCACGCCCACGCATACAATGCAACACAACTACACGTGTTGACTTAAGCATTAGTGGCACTCCAGACCATTTTTAAGAGAATATTATGCTCCATTCGTTTAATTTCAAAAGCCAACACGGAATTGTTCACGGGGAAATTAATAACAGGAATCTCATTCGAAACACAGCTCATTTTTGGCAACAACGCCATTGCCAGCGCAGGAAAATGATTCAGCCAAAGATTGTGGCTGAAACAACCCAACGGAAAGTGGAATTGTGTTGTAATTTATAAAAGCAAACTTAATTAATTTCCACACAGACATTTTAATAAGACACAATTAAAAATATAGATGTTTAGTGAGTTGTAAATGTTGGAATAAGATTTCCTAGTCTCTGAGACTCCGATTGTGGAGCTGAAAAAACATTCATAAATCATAAATTATGTGTTTTTTTCTCACTTTCGAAAATCTACATGTCAATAACTAATTTAATCATTCTATTCACGAAATAGCCTTTTTCTAAACTTGGAGCTATAGACTGACCACATTTATCATAAAGAACATTACAGGTTCCGTTACAGGTACTCTATGTAATGGAAACCTGAATTGCTTCTCTTGCAATGCTACCTGTATCTAATATATTAAAAACAAAGCAAAAAAAAGAGATTTTCTGAGATCAATATCCGAACTTAACAGTATTTTTCAAAAATAAAAAAAAATATTTTTTTACCCACATGCAACTCAACATGTACCCACACCCTCGACTGAGGCTGATGATTCTTATTTAAAATTGCTCGTTCTCTCTATAAAAATTATAAAGCCGAGGGTTGTAACAGGAAATCTACTGTTCGTAATAAATTTCAATGGAACTTTAAGTTTTATGCCTATTTTTAATTAACCTCCCATGACAGAACGCAATCATTGTTGTATCAGCTTGCAAAAATGCTAACGAAGAGTTATTGATATTAAGTGGATCATGTGAATGTACTACACAGGGCTACAAATTGCTGTAAAACGAAAGAAGACACATCAAGTGCTTTGGACCAACAAATTCAATTCCATGACAAAAACCTTATGCTAAGAACATAGAAGTATTTATAATCCTTAATATCCTTAATCCATCATATGACCCATAGAGGACTCCCTTTAGACATATAGAGGAATTCCCCGTGGCCTATAGGGTATTCTCCCGGGCCTGTAGAGGATTCCCCCGGGGCCTATAGGGGATTCCCCCTGGGCATATAGGGGATTCCCCGTGGCCTATAGGGGATTCCCCCTGGGCATATAGGGGATTCCCCGTGGCCTATAGGGGATTCCCCCTGGGCATATAGGGGATTCCCCGTGGCCTATAGGGGATTCCCACGGACCATATATGGGAATCCCCGGGGAATATAGGGGATTCCCCCAGGGCATATAAGTGATTCCACCGGGGCATATAGGGGATTTCCCCTGAGCATATAGGGGGAATCCTCCGGAGCCTATACGGTATTCTCCCGGGGCCTATAGGGGACTCCCTCGGGGCCTATAAGGAATCCCCCTAGGCCTATAGGGGATTTCCCCGGGGCCTATAAAGGATTCCCCTTGGGCATATAAGGGATTCCCTCAGGTCCTAAAGGGGATTCCTCCAGAGCCTATACGGGATTCTCCCGGGGCCTATAGGGGATTCCCCCGGGGCCTATAGGGGATTCCCCCGGGGCCTATATGGGAATCCTTTGGGGCATATATGGGAATCCTTTGGGGCCTATATGGGAAATCCCCCGAGGCCAATACGGGAATCGTCCGGGGCCTATATGGGACCTCCCCGGGACCCCTAAGCGTGCATGGCTTTGTCTCCCTGGTCCGTCTATATCTGCTCTCCGGTCTCTAGCTTCTCTCCCCGGCTTCCAACTCTTCTCCATCGACTGCCCGACCTTCTGCCTGCCCCTATAGTCTCTCCGGCCTCCAACTCGTCAGTATAGACTTACTGACTTCCTACTTGTTTATATAGACTTCCAGCTCGTCTATATGTATAGACTTCCTGTCTTCTATCTAGGCTATAACGACTCCCCAGCCTTCAGATCGTCTATACTCCCCGGCCTTTAGCTGATCTATAACGACTCTTCGGCTGCCAGCTTCTCTACAAAGACACTCCCTGGTTCCAACTCGTCTGTATACACTCCCCGGCTTCAAACTTGTCTTAAACGACTATATGGACTTCCCGGCATCCACCTCGTCTATATAGGCTCCCCGCATCCAGCTAGTCTGTATAGACTCCCCGGCTATTGATCGTCCATATCGGTTCCCCAGTCTCCAGCTTGTCCATAATGACTCCCGGCCTCCAGCTCGTCTATAAATATTCCCCGCCCCATAGCTCGTCTTTGTAGACACTCCCCGGCTTCCAGCTCGTCTATATAGACTCCATGGCTTCCATCTAAGCTAAAATGACTCCCCAGCCTCCAGATCGTCTATATCGACCATTAGCTCGTCTATATCGACTCCCCGGCTTCCAGCTCGTCTGAATGGACTCCCCGGACTGCAGCTTGTGTATATAGACTCCCTCACCCCCAGCTTTTTATAATGACTCCCGGCCTCCAGCTCCTCTATATATTCTCCTAGACTATATACACTCCCTGGCCTCCAGCTAGTCTTCAGACTCCTTCAAGCTTGAAGACTTCAAGGACGTCTATGCCTATAGGGTTTTCTCGATGCATTTCTTATTACAAATCGGTTGTTTGTAAATAATATACTTAAATCTCTATTTTTGTAGACAAGTGTTCATTTCCATTGCACAGTCCCCATTTTTCCAAACTCAATTTCCCTTCACCCTCTTTTTCTCTATCTTTCTACCTCTCCCTCTCCCACCCTGTTCGATATAACTTTAAAACGGATATATGTCTGACGGTTATAGACTGTAATTTACCATAACTATAAAAGTTGAACGATTTTGCATTCTGAATGAATGGACAACCAACTGTAACAACACCACCAAGAGAAACAACAACAAAAACAAAAATGAAGCGCCGGTCACAACGTGAGTTCACGCCATCCGACCAACTAAGCTAACAACTTACCTGTCTGCCTTTCTGACGCCTGACCACATGGCTGCCGATACAGGTGGCATAAATCTCAAATTACCGACAGGTGGCGATGCATACGGAATGCCACGATATGCCTCGACCGGATCTAAATGGCGGCCATCTAATTGTACAATTACGCCCGATAAGGCTCCGTTGCGTGTGTGAATGATACGTGATGAAAGTTGTGAGGGTAATTGGTCATGTTGGTTGTTGTTGTTGCTGCTACTACTGCTGCCATATTGACGACTGCTACGGGAATTCGATGATGATGACGACGAGGAGGAGGAGGAAGACGACGAAGAAGACATCGATGATGACGAGGAGGAGGATGACGAAGACATTGATGAGGAACTAGAACTGCCGCCACCCACCGCCGTTAGTGCCAATGAGGGCACAGCATTTCCATTCGACCCAACTAGGGAGGAAGATGACGACGATGAGGATGACGGCGATGACGATGACGTCGAGGAAGATGATGATGACGACGATGTGGATGTGGTTGTTGAGGCAGCTGCTATTAAAGCTGATGTCCTTAAGCTTAGATTGTTATTGTTGTTGTTTACATTTATGCTATTTTGAGAAACTTTATTGTTACTATTGTTGTTGTTGCTGTTGTTATTGCCACCGTTCATTGCTAGGGCCGATACACTGCTACCGCATGGCCCACTCATTGTGCCCAATGTTGCGAGCAACAATAAAGCCAATGGCAGAGGTATTCGTTTTGTTGTCGGCTGTGGGTGGCGGCGGTGGTGTTGGTGATGGTGATGGCGGCGGTGGAGCTGATGTTGACACTGCTGCGGCAGCGAAAGCTGCTGGCATCGTTGGCTTAATTTTCTTCGACTGTGTTTGGGCTGAAGACGCAGTAATGTGGCAGTCTTGGGTGCAGCAGATGTGACAAATTGTATGGCGTCTCTGGCGTCTGTGGGGCATCGTCGTCGTCGTTGTTGCTGTTGTTGCATGCCATGATGCAACATAATCATTATGCTTTAGTGGCGCAACGGTTGCATAAGCAACCGCTTTTGTGGGATGGTAGGCAATTTTTGTGAGTTGACCTCTTATTGTTGCTGTTGCTGCTGTTATTTTGAACAGAACAAATAGTTGTATGTCCTTATTCTCTATGTAAGTATGTGTGTGTGTGAGAGTAACTTGGCTATGTGTATGCTTTTGTTCCCCACTTAACTACGAGAGATTACGCAGTGATGCCATTGTGTCTGTGCTCTAATTAAGTTTCTCTGTTGTGCTCCTCTTTATCGTTGTTCTTCCTTTTTTGTTTTTTTTTTCGGTTTTTCACTCCAGCCCTCCAATGGAAGAATTTATGATTGTTGTGCCATTCTCTCTCATCCAGAGAAAGGAAAGGACTTTTAAATTTCAATTATATTTGTTGGTTATAGTTTTTTCTCCTTGCCTGCCTGCCAACCAGGCTTATATATGTGTGTGTGTGCGTTCGTGCCTGTATTGGTGAGTAAGTGCAAATGCAAGTGTTGGATTACTGCTTGTTTTTTGCTGGCAGCGCGTTAAGCACTTAAAATTTCACTTGTGCAAGGGCCACTTAACGGGATCTTTTTTAGTTGTGTGCTCGCCACTTCTAGTTTTTGTTGTTGCTGCTGTTGGCTGCTAGTGGCTTAGTTGTTGCTGGCAGTGCATTCATTCATCGTTTTCGTTGTACAAAAAAAAACCGACAGTACCGCATTCAGGCCCATTTCGCATGGCGTGTTCATCAGTTGTAGCTGCATCAGGGATTCACATCAAGCTGACATCTATATGAGAAGGATGTGATGCCTGGCGGTTGGCTGGTTGTTCCATTTACGTGGCAATGCTGTTGCTATTGTTGTTATCCTTTTGAAAATGCTACCCCTTTACTTTTTGTTGTTATGCAAGAATATGCATCACTTGTATGGCACACGTGGTGCTGGGAGATACATTTCAGCAGTGTCTTTGTTGTTTTTTTTCTGTCTTTTTTTCTCGTGATCCACCCAACCCAATAGACAAGGAGTTGTTCTTCCTTTCTTGGTCTTTGGCACTTTGTTTAAAACAATATTTGCATGCAAGTGCTGCTGTTAACTGGATATTGTTGTTGTTGCCGTTGAGTTGTATGCATGTGTTGCTGCTGACTGCAAGAAAAAAACAGAAGACTCTACATTTGTTTGCACCTGCTGCTTCTTTATTTTTCTCGTTTTTTGTTTGATGACAAGCGTTTTTTTCGGATTCTGTTGCTTTTTTCTTTCAATTGTTAGCACTCGGCTTTGTTGGCCATATTCTTCGTTTAAATTCTTTTGTCTGGCGTATTTCTAGTTATAATACCTAACCCCATACACGCTCTTCATGCGAATTGGACCAGGGTGCTCGAGTGTTGGCAGTTGCGGCACTAGAAGGGTCTGTAGCACAGCCACAGGCAAAATGGCATTTTGTGAGCAGCTTTAAGATTCTTCACTTCTTCTGTCTGAGTTTTAAATTAACAATGACAATTTCTCTTGTTTGGTTATTTACAGCGTTCCGACCACCTGTCAAATAGAAAGAAAATGAGAAAGGATTTTTCATAAGTAAATAAACAAGAGGAAGTGGTGTATGAAGTGTAGGTTTTGCAATGTGCAGGACACTTAACATGTTTATATTTTAATAAAAACATAAATTAATGTACTTTTGTAACTTTCTTCCCAATCCCATTTAAAATGTATCTTAAAAATTTAACTTTTGCTTGACTTTTTGCCATTCAATTATGGAAAATATGTATATTTTTATAAAATCTAATAATTGCATGATATTTTTGCAATCGTACAAATTTAAATACAAATAATTGGATATAATATTATTTTTTTGCAGAGTTTCTTAGAAAATATTCCGTCTACTTGTGACATGGATCCGATTATAGCAATTGGAAATGAAGACAAAAGAATTCTATGCACCATTGAAACATCTTCTGAAATGCATATTTTCTTGCCTTGATTGACTTGCCAATTAGTGCATACTTTTGTTTATTTAACAGACATACAAACAACATTACAGTTTTGTGAAGTACAATTAAGGGCCAGTAAAGTCAGTGCTTTACAAGTCAATATCAAAGTAAACTAGTTCTTGAGAAATTAAAAGGTAGGTGTATTAAAAGAGTCTGGAATATTTTTTTTTTTTTTTTTTTTTTTTTTTTGGAAAATGAAAATTTTCTGTTGAACAAGATTTATGTAGTTTGCATGAGAATAAGGGTAAATAACATCCACACAAGGTCGTATCATACAACAAAAACTGTTTTGTGATATAGTTAAAAAATTCCTGGTATTTAAGAATATTAACTGAAAGTACAATTGAATGGAGAATAACGAATAAAACATTGAGAATATAAATAATTTCAAAATGAATCAATAATTATAAAATCAAACAAGTAAGCTAACTTTTAGCGGACTAAAAGCAACGCACAGAATATACAAAAAACGAGTATTAGTCGGTTTTGTCGAAATATGTATACCCTCAGCCAATATTCGATTATTAAAATATTTTTTAACTTCTGTTATGATTATTCAAATTGTTGACCTTCTATAGAGTAAGTTCCGAAGGAATGGGACAATATTGTCTATTATGTATCGGTTCTCAATAAAAATCATATAAATATTGCAATAGGCATGATTTGGTTTGTATTTTATTTGTATTGATTACATAATTCATTCTGTATGAGATATGTGATAAGTTTTATTAAATGTTAAAACGTGAGTGAGGTACCAGATATAGTCGACCGAAATATACAATAATAGTATATGCAAAATTACATTTATATCCAATTTTATTCCACATTCATATCAGGTTTCCGTTTAAGAGAAATATTTAGATATGGTAAGTTTTAACGAACCGCTGACTTGTTATGCACATTATGACAGATAAAAGTATTGAAAATTGTGATCCTTTATCGGAGAGGTAGCAGAAGGGGTTCGCAAATATATATTATCTTCACAACAGATCTAGTATTAGCAAAAATGTTTGTATGTGTGAAATTTGAGCAAAGTTGAATGCTAATTTCGCTATCTTTTATTATTAATTTTGTGGGGGAGGCATCAGAAAGAATTCTCCGATCTCAACCATCTCTATAACAAAACTTGGGTTGATGGAAATATTTTTCTTATTCTACCAAATTGAGACTGGAAATAATAATGCCAAATTTGATCGAAATCGCTTCAGATATAGCTTTAGCTCCCATATATATCCTTCATCCGATTTTATATTTTTGTCCTCCGCAGCCGTAATATGCACTTTGTAACAACAAAATTTGGGGAATATATCAAATTCAGATCAGAAATACCTCTTCCAAATTAGCTCCCATAAATATTTTCGTCCGATTTGCCTTTTCTTGTGCACCAAACGTGTTATATAAGCCCAAACGGGATAGAATTTGGCACTTACGACCAACTGACCTAGAAACAAATATGCCAAATTTGGGGAAAATCTATAGCTTTAGCTCCCATATACAGGGTGAGATACAAAAACTGCAACAAAGTCAATTTACATTTTTTTTAAATTTTATTGAATGAAGGCAAAAAAGGTAGCAAATAACATCAAAAGTTAGAATAAGTTTAGATTTGTTCGAATTGGTCACCTTTGGCACAAATTATTGCCTTCAAACTGCCAATGAAACCGTCATACGCTGCCCGAATGTTGCTCTGCGAAGCGCATGCTTGAGGTGATCGACACTTTGATATTTTTTAGTGCCAACCTTGCTTTCTAAAATACTCCAAACACAATAGTCCAACGGATTGGTATTCGGAGAATTATGTGGCCATTGGGCGCTGGGAAATTAAGCGAGGAACCTCATTTTGTAAACAGTCCTGTTGGAATGTCCAAGGTCTGCGGCCAAAATGTTTGCATACCCAAGGCTTTAATGCACTTTCCAAAATATTTTCCGATAATATTCGGCATTTATTCTGATGCCATGGTCGATTAATAGAGCGACCATCGACTTTTATGGCGGCCCACACCATCACCATGGCGGCGCTTGAGTTCTCGTGGCCAACCGAAGGTGCACATTTTCAGCTGACCTCAGTGGCAAGTATATACGATAATTTTGTTTGTTTACAAACCGCTGGACAACGAAGGTTTTTTCATTGGAGAAAAGCAAATTCGGCAGTTCACCAATTTCGGCCAAGCAAAGCAACTCTTTAACTCTTTTGAGTCTATTTTCTTTCTGTTGCGGTGTAAGTTCTTGCATTCTTTTGAATTTCAATGGCTATACCCCGAGCTCGTTTTATAATATACAGGGTTGCCCATATTCGACGGATCCATGTTTTTTTGGGCCCATTCCAATCGACGAGGCTTGTCCGCAGGCAACATTCTTTGCGTCAATTGAATTTTGTACGGGAACAAATGCAAATCAATGCGAATAATCCGTTGTAAATTGGACCGAGCCATGCACAACTGCTGAGAACGGCGTTTTTGGGATGTTCTTGGGGACCTCTCAACACTGGCTCGTACGGCAGCGATATTCTCGGTTCTCCAAAAGGACAGACGTTTTTGAAAATTTTGATAATTGGTTCCGAATTTAATATGGCTCCAATTTGGATGTTAATTCCTCTAAATTATGTAAATTTTACACTGAATGTCCAATTCGAGTACAAATATTACAAAGCGCCACATTAAGATCATTGGAGGTCTAAGGTTTTGCTCTTAATCATTCTACCCATTATTCCAATCTGACAAGAATTAAGGATTGTTTTATGGTCATTGCAACCTTGGGTTCTCGTGTCGGAGACACACATATAGTGCGACGTTACTCATTGCATGGTAATGAGAATAGTAATTTTTTTGTAGTCTTTAAAATATAACCATTTCCCTTTGCAGAGCAGAAGGTAGTTTGTTTTCATTCAGTTCATACAGCATCCTACCGATCTAAGCATGTTCAGACGACCTAAAATTATAATCTAAATCTAGGTAGAATTGGAGAACTTGAATTTTATTAGCAAGATTTTCCAGCTTCCCCAACTTGCCATTTATATTCTAATTTATTCCATTGCCTTAGTTTCAATATTTTCTTGGCAGCAATTTCATGTTTAAATACGAATAACAAAATAATACAACGTCTTTTTGGCTTACATATCTGTTTTCAATGGTTCGCAACTAGTTCTTCAAATGTATAAATAAGCATTGCCCATGTTTGTAACTAACTGCGATCAGCGGTGTTGCCACCAACAACGATGACGTTGCAATAAATACTTAAGGTAAAGTCAGCTTAAACTGAACGTATGTATGTTTATATTCATGCTCACACAAACCTAGATAAATGTGTATCTTTTTCTTGCGAAACAACTGCCAGCATTGAACTAATATTCTCCATGCTGTGCTGTGCTGTGTCGTGTGTTGCAATAACGGTTTTAATATGTCTCACAGTATTATGCACAACATTAAGTGCGTAATTAGTTGCTCTTCGCAACAATTTTCTACCTGAGTGTGGCAGTAGTAGTACGAGTAGTAGTCCTGTTCTTGGATATCATCCAACCAAGTATTGTCATATTTAGCTTTGGCAATGTTGAGTCACGTTCGACAGACAAAATGCTTTCGTTTCTCATTCATTCATTCATCCACTCATTCATTTGTTTTGTTGAGTTTTCGGTATTTACAGTATGATCTCATGGACATGTTACGTGCATGTTAGACTTGTTGGTATTTTTTGAGATGTATTCTGAGAAGGCTGGACAACAAACCCATGGAAACACAAACGGTTAAGGAATCATTTATTATATAATTCATACTGCTAATTTCTTTGAATCCAAATTAAATACAATTTGTATCAAATAATAGAATGAGAGAGAATAATAAGTTCAAATGTTAACGCTACATCACATAACTTAAGAATATTGATGGTAACGTGCTTACAAAATATAAAAACTTCTAATATTCTAAAAAATCCCCCCTATTACAAGATGAGTGAATTCCGTTTCACCTTTTCAAACTTATAGTTGATATAGTGTAGTTTAGTACGGTGTAGTAATGTTAATACTGAAGAATGGTACTCCATAGTTATCGGTCAAGGTTGAACCTCAAAAATTTGAAGGATAGAGGAAAAACTGTCATATTACAAAGATAATGTAACTCTTTGTTATTATTTTTCCTACTTTCTTATAATACATCAGTGTTCTTTATACCGAAAAGCGATTTTTAAATAAATAACGTTCGACGGATTTTTCAATGTGCTGGGTCAAATATCTTCATGTATCTTTACATCCGTGCCAATTTTAAAACTTCTAAAACTGTTACCGCATCATTTTGACTATTTAAATCTTCTTGTAACCTTAAAATTTGAAATTCTACAAATTGATGTATAATAAAAACTTATGAGTACTAGTTCTTCTAGTTCCTTTTCTATGTATTCTTCCGCCCCATTTGTGTTCTAGAGAAATTTCTCAGCTCTAGGTCTTCTTCAATCGTCCAACAATAATCTTGTAACATTTCGTACCTTTTTATTTTTCGTTGCCCTAACATACGAAAATCCCAAAAACTTGCCTTATTTTACTCCTCTTCTAAA